GATTAATAATATTAAGCCTTCTAAGATTTGAGTTAAATGTTAATTAATAAAGAATAATTTCATGGGTAAATTTTATAGAAATTACTCAAAATAGACTAAAATTATGACAAAAACCCAAAATAGGACTTGTTATATTTTAATTCCAAAATAGGACAATATTACTCCTATTAGAAACATATCTATTTTTCATTGCATTCTTACATCTCCTTTAAATATGAATAAAAAATAGTCAAAAGTTGTAATTAAATGTTTAATTCATAATAAATTCGAAAAAAATAAAAATCGTAGAAAATGATAAAAAAATTGTTGCACGTCATGCATGGAAGCCATGAAATTTACATAGACATAGAGTTACATGTAGCTTGTAATCATGTATTCCGGTATAAAATTTACCCATGAAATTATTCTTTATTAATAAAGAAGCATGAGAAATTCCTCTCGATTACTTGATATTTAATTAAATTAATAAAATATTTATAAAACAAAAAATTTAATTTTCTATATTCTAAATTTCCTACTGCTTGTACTGCCTCCCAGCACCACCACCTCTGATCGGTGTAAAAAAGCCATTTTTTAAAATGACAAAATAATGGCATATTACTCTTTGTGAATGTCAAAATTTTCATTGATTCTGCCATAAAAATGGAATTCGTAAGTGGATGTGGCTTTTTTTTTCGCCCGGTGGCTGGAGGTGGTGGTGTTGGGGCGGTAGAGGCGGCGGTGACTTTTTTGAGAAAATTACCAAATTACGGGAATCTCCCGTCTGACAAGCCAAAATACGGGAGTTCCTTTTAGGTTACCAAATTACGGTAGTCGGAATTGGCAATTCCGACTGGAGGAGAAGTCCGGAATTAGGGTTGAAACCCTAGTCGGAATTGGGCAATCCGACTAGAGGTAAGTGCCAATTTAATTAAAAAAAACCTAGTCGGAATTGGGGAATCCGACTAGGGTATTTTTGATTTTTTTTTTTAAAACAATGCGTTAACCCTTCCTCTCCCTGACTAATTCCATTGTTTTTTTTTTAAAACAAGCGGATAAAATTTATTAAAAACCTACTCGGAATTGGGAAATCCGACTAGGGTATTTTGATATTTTTTTTTAAAAATGACGTGTTTAATTGTGGTTCGAACATTTTACCAACCAACTCGTTTTATTTTCATTTTATTGTTTGCACTACGTGTTTTATTTGTATTCCTTTATTCTACCAACTACATTTATATGGTCACCGTACGTACCCCAATAGCTCCTATAAAATGAGTTCATTTCTTTTCAAAATTTTCACTCCAAAAATAATCCTTCTTTCTCTCTTGATATATTTATTACATTTTCTGTTTAGACATTCTTCTCTCATATAAAAATGTCTAGTGAGGGAAATATTGTTGTTATGGTTCATTGGAATGGCTCTACATCTCAAAAAGATGATGAAATAGAGTACTCCATACCTCCTAGGGCGGTACTATTCATTAGTGAAGCAGATGATTATACTACTATACATGAGAATGTTCTAAATCATGTTAGAGGCGACGGATTTTCCGAAATTAAATTAATTTACGGAAAATTGCCAAAATATAAGAATTCTGTATATGTTGCTTCTAGACTATGGCCCATTCACGATGAGCAGACATGGCGTCATTTTTTCCGGATCGCTAAAAATGAGTATGAGGAGTTGCACATTTACGTGGAAGCTTCAGCGATCCCGCCACAAACTTTGACGTTCCACGGAACTCCCAGAGAGGAAGGCCCATCATCTGTATATGGTCGGAGGAACAACCGCCAAACGTTTCAGAACTACGAATCTCCTGGTATGTGTTGTTCAAGTTAAATAGAATTTACAATGATTTGGTTTTATTTGTTGTCATTTTAAGAGTGTAGAAGTAGTTAATTTAGTAATTTGTAAATTTTTTAATTTTGATTGTTAAATAGGAATTTCAGAGTAAAAATTGGCTATATGTCTGTCTCATCTGCACAAATTCAATACTTCTATCTAATTACACAAGAAACACATTCTAGTTCAAATAAATGAAATAACCGGAAGTGGAAGTGGAATTTTAAAAAAATTTAAAATTTTATCTCCTGTCGGAACACCCAAATCCGACGAGAGCACAAAAAGTTTTTATTATTCAAATAAACTTAAAATTTGTATATAGCGCATAACATTTCAAAACTCCTGTCGGAACACCCAAATCCGAGCAGAGCACAAAAAGATTTTATACTTCAAATAAACTTAAAAATTTTATATATTCCGATAAACTAAAACCAAAAAAATCAAACCATAATTTTATTTTATTTTAGATAGTGTGTTACAAGGAATTGTGTTCAATTCTAGAAATTCAAGAATTGTGTTAAATTAATAATTTGTCCCAAATAATAATATTGAAATTTATGAATGTATCTACTTTGTACAGTCACAAACTTGGGTGAAGAGTCGGACGACCCAGACTATGAACAAGGTTTTAGTAGTGATGTCGATTCATCCACGAGCGATGATAGTGACGACGTAGTAGACACCACCTGGGCTAATGTGGAGCTAGAAGAACCATATGTTCAAGCATTAGATTCTGAGCCTGAAAGGATCGAAGTAGGTGCAGTTTACTGTTCATATGATGCACTGAAAGAAGCGGTGGCGAGAGAAAACATTCGTCAATTTCGTCAATTCAGAACGGTTGACAAAAGGCCACGGTCCTGGAAGGCGGTTTGCATAGACCCGACCCTTTGCACTTGGCATATCCAAGCAGGAGAAGGTATGACGTCAAAAAAGTGGAAAGTAAAAAAATATCAACCCATCACAGTTGTAGGGAGGATCCTGTCATGGCTCGGGATGACAGGCTCCTGACGGCCAAAATTATAGCCAGTGAAATCGCTCCAAAAGTGAAAGTCGACCCGGACTACAACATTAAACTGATAATGTCAGACATATATGAAAAATTTAATATCCGTGTTTCATATAAAAAAGCTTGGAATGGACGTTTGATCGCTCTGGAGCGTAAATTCGGCAATTGGGAGGCATCATATAATGAACTTCCTATGTTGTTGGAATCTATACAGTTTTCAAATCCGGGGACTGTTGTTCATTTGCAATCACAACAGGCCGGCACTCCTGATACGTCTGAATTCCGCCGAGTGTTCTGGTCATTCAAGACTTCTATAGACGGTTTTAGATTTTGCTTACCCGTAGTCTCGGTTGATGGCACTCACTTATATGGCAAATACAAGGGAGTTCTTCTAGTTGCGGTAGCCATGAATGCTAATCGTGAGATATTTCCTCTTGCATATGCTGTTGTTGAGAGTGAGAATGCTGACAGTTGGTCGTGGTTCTTTGCAAGGGTTACGCGTGATGTGGTTGGAAATCACCGTAGTGTGTGCATTATCTCTGATCGTCATGCAGGAATTGAAAGTGCATTTAGAGCCTTGTGAGAGTTGAGATCGCCACAAGTTTCAAAGCGTTATTGCCTCCGTCACATACGGAGTAATTTCATGACCAAGTTTAGGAACGCGGAACTGAAAAAATTATGTTGGCAAGCTGGTAGCACTCCCACAGAACAGGAATTTCACGACTATATGCAACAAATACGAGACATAAATGAGAGTGCTTTTCTATATTTGAATGAGATTCCTGTTGAGATGTGGGCCCTGAGCTATGACGATGGCAAAAGATATGGCATTTTGACGACAAACCTTTCTGAAAGTTTTAACAATGTCTTAAAGGGATGCCGCACATTGCCTATCACAGCACTAGTAAAGGCCACATTCGATAAAGTCGTCCAACTATTTGCCGATCGACGAAATGCGGGAATAATGTGGCACCAAGCTGGATTCTTGTATCCACAGAACATATGGAAGGATGTTCTTGAGCGGTCACAGCGTAGGTATCACACAACTATTGTCCCGCACAATCGAACAACGGGAATTTACTCTGTAGCTATTGGTTCGCATGATCCAGTGACAATCGATCTGACAAGGCAGGAATGTGGGTGTGAGTATTGGAAGCAGAACGGGATGCCATGTGTTCACGCGTACGCGGTTTGTCGGTTTTTAAAAATAACCGTAGACAGCCTCATCCCAGCTGTGTATTCCTTAAATGCTTACATCCGAACGTACGCTTCCGATATTATGCCTATTAATAATTACCTCAATTTCATGGCAGAAACATCGCATACACTTCTCCCGCCCCCAAACAGTAGATCGGCTAGAGCCGGTAGGCCACAGAGAACTCGATTTCCTAATGAAATGGATTTGCGTGCTACAAGGAGAGGACATGAGTAATATTGTAATGTATACCTTGTTGGGTTTTTTGAACTAATGAAATATTTGTTCTCTTTGTTGGAGTTATTGAATTTTTTAAGTTTGCACAACAACTATAATTAGATAAAGTTTAATCAGATAACTATAATCAGATAAGTTCAGTCAAATAAAATTTAATCAGATAAATATAATCAGATAAATTTAATTACATAAAATGTAATCATATAAATATAATCAGATGAGTTCAATCAGATAAAATTTAATGAGATAAATATAATCAGATAAATTCAATTAGATAAAATTTAATCAGATAAATATAATCAGATAAGTTCAATCAGATCAAAATTAGATAATTCCATATTTATTCCACATTTGTACAAAAAATAAACTCTAAACCACCAAAGAAACACAATAAGGGCTCGGATCCCTATCGCACGGCTGTTATCAAAAGAGGAGGGGCTTGGATCGGAATCGGAGGGCGGTAAACGGATACCTCCAGTCGGATTTTGAAGATCCGACAACAATAAAATTTTTAAAAAATTGTTTTATGGATACTGATAAAAGTAGCTGATAAAGTTAGCACTACCACACGGTTCAAGGAAAAAGCAGAAGTGTGGACCAAGAACTTTATTTAAGAAGTGTGGAAGAAGTGTGGACCACTAATTACAACACCAACTTTTATTTAATGGATCAAGAACTCCCAACTAATTTTTTTTTATATAAATAGAGCCGAGCCAGTTGGATCAAGAATCCCTACTTAATCCCAAGCAAGAGCACCTACTAGCAAATCAAAATTTGTGATCTGCCAAATTTCCAGGTTAGTTAATTTTCGGTTTTAGAAGTGTAGAAGTAGTTAATTTAGTAATTTATAAATTTTTTAATTTAGATTGTGAAATTGGACTTTTAGAGTAACATTTAGCTATAAAATACTTGAAAGTTAGAAAGTGTGTAACATTTAGAATTTCCCTTAAATTTCGGTTTTAGGAGTGTAGAAGTAGTTAATTTAGTAATTTGTAAATTTTTTAATTTACATTGTGAAATTCGAATTTTACTCTTTAATTTTAACTTTTTATTATTTATAATAGTTGAAATTGTAGATGTTTAGAAATTGCGTTAAATTTAAATAGTCGAATTTAAGATTTTAATTTCGCAATTATAGTTATTTCGAATTTCAAAATTACTAGTTATTTTGGTAACTTTTAAGATTTTAATTTAGATTGTGAATTTAGAATTTTACTCTACATTGTGAAATCGGAAGTTTAGAGTTGTACTTAGCTATGAGAGGTATTGAGTACTCTAGATAATCATCTGCTTCACTGATGAATCCCAAGCAAGAGCACCTACTAGTAAATCAAACCTTTGTGATCAGCCAAATTTCCAGGTTAGTTAATTTTCGGTTTTAGAAGTGTAGAAGTAGTTAACTTAGTAATTTATAAATTTTTTAATTTAGATTGTGAAATTGGACTTTTAGAGTAACATTTAGCTATAAAATACTTGAAAGTTAGAAAGTGTGTAACATTTAGAATTTCCCTTAAATTTCGGTTTTAGGAGTGTAGAAGTAGTTAATTTCGTAATTTGTAAATTTTTTAATTTACATTGTGAAATTCGAATTTTATTCTTTAATTTAAATAGTCGATTTAAGATTTTAATTTCGCAATTATAGTTATTTCGAATTTCAAAATTACTAGTTATTTTGGTAACTTTTAAGATTTTAATTTAGATTGTGAATTTAGAATTTTACTCTACATTGTGAAATCGGAAGTTTAGAGTTGTACTTAGCTATAAAAATCTAGAAATTTAGAAATTGTGTTACATTTAGAATTTGAGTTAAAATTCGGTTTTATGACGTTACAAGTTGTTACTTTAGTAATTTTTTATTTTTTTGTGTTAGGTTGTGAAATTAGAATTTTAGAGTTCAATTTAGCTATAAATATCTACAAATTTAAAAATTGTGTTACATTTAGAATTTGTGTTAAAATTCGAATTTAGTAATTTATAACTACTTATTTTAGGAATTTCAAATGGAGCAAAACATTCCGCGCCCAGGGCCTGTTAACCGTTCACTACTCACGTTGCCACTGCGTGCCCATCGTGCGGACCGTATATGGTATGAACCGAATTCCAAAGACTCGTGCTTGAAATGCGTCAGTTGCCCTTCAGCTGCATTCGGAGTTGAAGAGCGAGATCCAAGAGTGATAGGTATGTTAGCATATGCTGGCTTCTTGGGGGTAGAGCACATTGCCCGTATGAAGGTGGATCATAGTTTAATATGCGCTTTGGTGGAGAGATGGAGGCCGGAGACACATACTTTCCATCTTCCATTCGGTGAGGTCGGCATTAGTCTACAAGATGTGGCGATGATCCTTGGTTTGCCCATTCGGGGTATGCCCCTCAGTGGTCCAACCGTTAAGGGTAAGGCTCAGTGGATCGACCTGTGCACGCAGTCGTGTGGTTTCACTCCTCTAGAGACTGATATGCGCACGAGTGATATCACCATGAGTGCTCTTACCCGTCACCAGATCCTACCTGACAGTACAGACGAAGAGGTCACCGAACACACCAGAACCCTAATATGACAATTGCTTGGAGGCCTTTTGTTCCCTGACACGAGTGGGACAAGAATACGATTATACTTTTTGGAGGTCTTGCAGGGTGACTTGGCTTTAGCCCGTCGATGGAGTTGGGGATCAGCGGTTCTCGGGTACCTCTACCATAACTTGTGCAACGGCGCCAAGTGGGAAACCAAACAAGTTGGCGGTTGTATGCACTTGTTACAGATTTGGGCTTGGTCGAGGATTTCGATGGTCCGTCCCTCAGTAGTTCAGGTCATTCAACATGACCATCTTCCATATGGGTGCATGTATGTTGGCAATTACATCTTAATAATTGAGAATGTGTTATATGACGTTAGAGTTTTTAAATTCATTTCGGTAATAAATAAATGTAGGTGGATCGTCCCCAAGTCATATAAGGGATCCCCAAGACACTGCATCCCCACCGTACTATTCAATTTTTAATACACATTGTTTTATAGTGGTTAAATTGCAAATTAAAATTTTTACAGTTTGATTTCACTCCCTACGCGTCCGAGGAACTCCCACCTATCATCCTTAATGACGCTCCGCTTTGGTCGGCTAGGGTCATGCTCATATTTTGCAATATGGCCGAAATGCATTACCCCGATCGATTTCTTCGGCAGTTCCATATAAGGCAAGATACTCCGGATGCTCCTTTGGCGGGTACTGATCATCACGGCAATCGTTCCAACATAGTAACCGGTGCCTTGGCGTTGTGGGCGGACATACAACATAATATATACTTTCTTGATTATGATCGACATATGTCCGTCGAAGCAACTAAGAGGTACCGAAAATGGTACCAGAAACATGGTATGACACGTGTCCAGAACCCTTCTCACAATGTGCCCACGACAGGCTACATCCCGACATCACACGATTGGGGTATTGTGGTAAGTTTTTGAATACATACTATATTCATTAACATATATCATGTCATATTATTTACACGTGTTACATTTTTATGCAGAGGCAGAGCTTTTACGAGCTGAATCAGCTCTTAGCCGACCGCGCAAGTCATGAGGACTGTCAAAAACGACTACAGCGGATGGCCCTGGACGTAGGTGATGAAGAGATGCTCCGCCGGGGCATATTCCATTATGAAGATGAAGATGAAGATGAAAGTGGAAGTGACGAAGAGGATGGTGCAGATGAACATGAAGGTGGGGGTGAGCACTCACAATCGCCCCCTCAATTTTCAACACGTGAGGGTGTCTCATTTGATCAATCACCCCCTCAATTCTCAACGCATCAAGGTGTCTCATTTGATCAACCACCGCCGTATTATGATTCTTATCAGTACTCCACACAAGCGGTTGATTATGTTGATTCATTTCTGGATTCGTCGTCGTTTTACTATGGAGACACAATGGGGCCTTGGAACACTAGCGGTGGGGACGGAGCAGGGCCGAGCACGCAACGTTAGATGTAGTATCATTAAATTTATATTATTGTATGTACTATCTATTTATTAATAAATTACATTGAAACCTACATTTGTTTTGTTCACTTTCATTAAATTTACAAATCGTATTTAAAACAAATTCAAATTTGTATCTCATTTTATGAATTTTATTCACAATACAAATGGATTTAAAAAAATAAAATTAAAAACTATAACTTTAGGCCAATTTAAAAATTAAATTGGCGACTAATTAAAAAAAGAGAAATTCGGCCAATTTAAAAATTTAAACATGAATGAAATCGGCCAATTTAGTTTAAAACTTTAGTTGGAAATTAAAAACTTTAAATTAAAAAATAATGAAAACTTCCTAGTTGGAAGTGGTAGATCCGACATGAGAGAATTTAAAATTTTAGTTTAAAAAAACTTTGAAAATGAAAAGCGGCCAAAAATTAAAAAAAAAAAAAAAAAACCGTCGGAATTGGCTAATCCGACTGGAGGGAGGAAATTGTTTTTCCGAAACCCTAATCCCTGGTCGGAAGTTGCAGTTCCGACTCCCATATTATGGTAAACCCTACAAAAATCCCCGTTTTTTGGCAAGTATATCCCAGTTTTCCCGTGTTTTGGTAAAACACCCGACTTTTTTTGCGTTTTTTATTGTTTTTAATTTTTTTAATTTAAAAAAATGAGTTATTATTATTTAAATATTTTTATTAATTTTTTAGTATTTTTTTACGGATTTTTATGATTTTTTATTATTTTATTATGAATTAAAACATTTTAATAGCAATAAGGGTATATTTGTCCAACATGCACATAATAGTCCTATCAAAACATAGTTTACTTTTTGGTCTTATTTGTGCAAAGTGGCTATCTTTTAGTCCTATTTTGACAATTAACTCTAAATTTTATGCCGTTACACAAGTATACGCTTTTGTATGCACTTTACTATTATTATATTTTGTTTTCAAAACTCATGATTAATATTTATTTAAATTTTAGTACCAAGTGTGAAAAATATTTAACTTGATGATATAATAAAATTTGAAACTTTATTGGCATGTATTTTAACAACTAGACTGGATTTTGAGTCGTTCCACAACCATCTCATCTACGACGGTATTGACGATCTGTCATAGTCTTGAACCACCGCCACAGAGTGAATATGTTCCTTGGAATTCAAATTTGATTTTCAAGACGAAAATTGACTACATTCTTGCAGTTTTTTACTTTAATGTTATATCAACTTTTATATTTATTATAGTAGACCATTACTGTGGTTTTCAATTTTGTTGGATTGTGTTAGTGGTGTGTTGTTTAGTTGTAGGAAAAGTAGAGAAAAGGTACATGTGATTGGCACGTTTCAAATAGGGGCACGCATTTCGTTTCATAACATATTAGTTCTTGTGTTTAGATTTCGTTGTTACTGGAGGGGGCATGCGTCTAACACCGTTAAAAATCGTCATAAGAAGATGGTGAACATGAACTTTGGTTTTAAAAAGTGCCCTGAAAATTAAAAAGAATATAATGGGAGGAATGCCTCGCCGAGGTGACCTCCAAACCATTTTTCTTATGGATTTGTCAGCTCTTTTGGATTATTTTTAAAAACTAATTCGCCGATATCACCTTTTCGATGAACTTTCCGGCGATGAAGGTGGTTGGGTTTAGAGGTCTCCTTGACGAGGCACACCTCCCTATATTTCTATATTTTTTTCAGGAACTTTTAAAAATCAGAATTATTGTTCATCATCTTCCTTCGGTAATCTCTAACAACGTTAGGCGCAGCCCACAGGCCTCTCCAGTGATAATGAAATCAAGACACAAGACTGCTTCTGTTAGGCCCTAGATTTTGTGTAAACAGTTTTGATGATGCCAAAGCTTTTCAAATGTTCCCCCTTCTTTTGTAGCATTAGGAAATCAAACGTGATGTATTTTGTATCAACCAAGTGTGAGTAAAAAGAGAAGTCAAAATGTTTGTGTCAAATAAATTATACCGAAAAGTCAAAATGCAATAAGGTAATTTATACCTTAAAAAGGATATTTAAATCCTACCGGTATATATTTAATTTGACACAAACATTTTCAAACAGAAACACATTGATATAATATTACGCGTGTCAAAGTGAGAACAAATAAATGTAAAATTTTTAAGACTAATAATATTATTACTGGACAGTAAAAATGCAATAAGGTAAATTGATTTACCTTTAATAGGATAATTAAATCCTACCGGTATAATTTTATTAGACTCAGAAATTGGTATGTTCGAACAAATTTACCATGGCGGGTAAAACAGAGCCAATAATTATCCAGCATGGAGAACCGACGTACAGCATGGGCGTACAGTCTGAAGCCTAAAGAGAAATCTACAGTGGCTAGGCGGGCAAAACAAAAAGATCCCATAAGCTCTGAAGAGGAAGATAAACAACAAGTTGTTTATCCTCTGCGATCAAGATTCAACGAACAAGATTAAATCATCTCAACCAACGGATGAGATTAATCTACCGGAGATGCCTATAAATGAAGGCCGAAGCATGAGTCCGGAAATAAGTTTTTGAGTTCCAAGCAGAGAGATTCCATAAGCATTCAAAGAATATCTAGCAACTCTGCTTTGACTCATGCTTCACTAAGCTCTTAGAATAGATCATCATTGTAATACTTTTAGAGCTTAGTTCATAGTTGGAGACTAGAAGTTCCTTGTAATTCACAAGGTGTTGTAAAACACTTCAGGAGGACAGTTGTTCCCGGCCTGAGTGTGGTTAGATAGGTCAGGAGTACCTTTTGATCCCCACTGGATCAGTTGAGAAAAAACCTAAAGGATTGAGTAGCTTGGAGTGGTGTTGTACTCCTCGTGAAACACCTTCAATCTAGGCCAGAGTTGTCAAGGCTAGATTGACACTAAGTGTATTGGGCTTAATACATTAGTGAAATCCATTTGAAATAGGATGAGACTGGATGTAGGAGGATTATACCACCTCTGAACCAGGATATATTGTGTGTTGATTTACTTTCAGTCAACAAAGCACACACTGAACACTTCTCACATAAAGATTGGAGTTTGCCAGCAGCATCCTAAGCAGTTGTCTTAATTGACTCAACTGCTTATCCTACTGCTTAATTACTCACTCTCTTTGAGATACAAGAAGCCTCACAATATCATATTTAAAAGGTCTGCCTTAGTCAGAGTTCAGGAAATACTACTTACGGCATGGCAGTTGCCTCAACAGTCTCCTAAGGACTACTCAACTGTTGAGCCCACTACTTACACAAAAGTATTTCCTGTAAACATCTTCACACCACCAGACCTTTACATCTTTATCTCTAAGAAGTCTGTTCAAAATAATCTCTATGATTCAGGGTGATAACCCAGCAGGTACCTCTACAGTTCCCTCACCATCACCCAACTGCCTAAGACCACTGCCTAAGTAAAACCCTCTACTTACTTGGCCTAAAGCACATCTTCAGAAAGCCCACATCATCCTGAGCTACACCATATAATCAAACCTTCCATACCTTCACCATTACTTCAGCAGGTGCCTCAGCAGTTCCTTGGTTTCCACCCAACTGCTGAGACAACTGCTCTCATTTAAGGTTGATTATCAATCCACCACAGTACATCATCAGGAAGCTCTTCCCACTCTAAGAAAGATTCTGAATGAACCCTCATCATACTTCACGTATTTGGTAAGCAGACGACTAAGCAGTTCCCTGCTTCCTGGCCAACTGCCTAGCAACTGCTCACCAATAAGCAAAGACTTCATCCATCACAGAAAGTTGTTACACATTACATAAAGGGTAAAGACTTCCGCTGTGCATCTATTAATCTCTCAAAAGATTATAGATCAACTCTTCTAGAGGGAAATATTTTGAAAAGGTCGAAAAGATTTAAAAGACTATTCACCCCCCCTCTAGACTTTTACCCTATCCGGGACCATCAAGTGGTATCAGAGCGGAGTGTTCATAGAGTCATTTCCTGACTAATTTGAACTAAAGATCCAAATCACTCAACTTCCCAAACACTTTTTGAAATGGACAAAAGGTTGGCTACAGATTCTGTGCCTAACCAAAACATATATGATGACTGGAGAACCAAGGATGTCTGGGATGAGCTCTCAATGATTCAATCAGTTGATGATCAAGAAGGCTCAAGTGATGAAAGCAGTACATCAGGAGATGAAGAAGAGACTCTGATTTGTCTCTATGGAATGCACCATGTTGAAAACTTCTCCAATGACTGCTCTATGGCCAGAACTGCAAGCAATGATAATGATGAGGTATTGTCTAGTTCTTCAAACAGCTCAGTTCAATCTAGCTGTTCAAGTGTTGATATGGAAGCTCTACTCCTTCAATTTGAAAATTTTCAAAAGGATCACCTTCTTTTAATGAACGAAAACTGTAGACTTCAAGCTAATCTAATAGTAGCCCAAGCTCAAATGGGTGAAGTAATAAACAGAAATGATTTTCTTGAACTCGAAAACTTCAGTTTAAAAGAAAGGTTGAGCTCCCTCACTACCCCTATAAGTGAGGAAATCCATCACACCTGGAAGAACACAAGATTGGGATTCACACCCTTGTCCAAGCCATTTGAAGACCTTCCTAAATACTCTCCTATCACAAAGCCCACCACAGATCTACTAGACACAAGGAATTCAAATCACCAACCACCTCACTCCCAAACTCTGTCAAAGAAACAGACTGAGTCCTCCTCCAGACCAAAATACAAACTACCCTACAACTTCAACTCCCTAAATAACCAACCAAATCAAAGAATTGGTTGGAAACCAATTACAAAGACCACCAACACATTTCCTAAAAAGCTGATCACTTCTAAAACTCATATTCCTTCTCCCCCACACACAAGGAATAATGAACACAAACATATAGCCTTTCCTCATGGACACACAAATCCAAACGGCTATAGACCCATCAGCTCAAATCCAAATGGTCCGAAATTGGTATGGATGCCCAAACGCATTCAAGGGAAG